AAGGAGCAACTATCGGCTTGAATATCGAACTATTTATCAGGTAGTGGTCTTTCAAGTAACAATATATCCAACTACTGTATAGCCAACAACTATCATAGCAAGAACTCATCGTAAGTAAGAAACTGGTCGAGTAGAGTTAATCAGTTTCATAACATACGTAGTACTATACAGTGTACAGTATCATCAGCTGATAGCTTTGGTTCATGAAGCCAAAATTTTATCTATCTACTAATAATTTATTATTGTCGGATAGTTCGATAGTTAATGGACTGTCTAGGTATTCGATAGTTGTCAGCACAGAGTAGTATGATCCTTCAATTGAGTGTTTGGAGTACCGTAGTTACAGTAGATGATAATGATGCACTTTGAAAATTTTGAAGCCTAATACTAGATTAGTTTCTATGAAATATGATTCAATTTACTTACTGTTAAAATTAAGCATGTTAAGTGTATTTATTTTCAAGATTTTAATGCGTCAAAAATTGGGAAATTTCCTTAGCATAATATAGCAAAGCTGGTATACGCTACTATTAAAACGTATAGAATCGTAATACGAAAGAAAAGCGAATGTTATGGCGTTAGCCTTTTTTGCAAAGGAGACAAGCCTGTCAATTAGTACTATAGTAGGCTTCTTTAGCTCTTATACATTACTTTATATTCAGTATTTTAAAATACTGTACGGCTGTTAAAAAATTCTACATGTATTGTAAAATGAAAATGTATGTAATGGGAAGTTGCACGAGGAGAACTGTTTTAATTGCGCTGCAAATGTATCGTAAGACATAGAGACGACTGTAATTATAATTTTTGCCTTGATACGTAACTACTATTAAAAGGGAAGAAACGAGACAGGAAATAGCTGCCATAACAAAAGAGTTGAAAGACTGACGATCATTTATCCAGTCATTCTGCTGTCATAGAAATCGAAGTTGGTCTAAGGCCATAATATCTTTCAACTACAAACCTAACGTAGTAGCCATGAGGCTATTACAACCATACTTCATAAAATCTTCCTAGCAGCTAAATGTGCCTGTAGACTTTCCGAGTCTATGCCAGACACAATGACCACCATTTTGGATGAATGAATAACCTCTTATTGTGATGATACATGCAGCCACTTTATTAATTAGCAAAACTACGACTATTTCTAGATTAGACTTGTCAACTGACCACGACATCGCATAAGGTCTGTAGTTAATAGTATGTCGGTAATGACAAATGATTACATTAGTTTCTATTTACAGTTCACCGGCATTCCAAAGTGGGAAATAAGTGATGATAGCTATGACCGTTTCACCGCTGATGATTTTACCATCAGGTAGATCTATGGATATGTAGTGCAGCACTCAAAAACAGATCATGTTTTGTAGATTAAATCATCGGTTTCATCAATAGATATCTACTACCACTGGATAGGTTATTTCTTAGATATAGTATCGTACTATATTCTAAATTGGACTCCTAGAACTTCCTTTCAATTTAACCATCAAGAAGTACTTTGTCTAGATAAGCATACAGATTGCCTGCCGATATTTGTATAGAGGAATAATCTGCTCTATTCTAGCAATGATTTGTAGCCAGGGGTTAACAGTCATACTTTATGTATACGTATTATCTCTAGATGTACTAAATATTAACGCCATGGTCTACCTCTTTCAACGGGTAAAATTGGCATAGATACATTTCTATAAAATTCAGCTGTTTTCTATGTCTATATCCTACACGGGAATCTTAACAGTAGTAGGCCAGTAATGTGGTTCATAACGAAATAATAAGCAGGAAAACAATCGAAGTACAGTCATTACGGATACTAGAAGAGTACGGATTCAAATGCTGTATTCCACTCTACCATATATACAGTATTCCCCTAAGTACTAAGCAAGAATTAAAATCATCGGATGCAACGAGACATACTCAATTTCTATATTTTAAACTAGTTTTCAAAGATTTATAATATCGTCTTTTAAAAATTTTATATAAAATTATGAAGCCGTAATCAATAGATTTGAAACGTATACTCCAATATTCCGCCTGTTGTTAAAGGTATATGAGCGTATAAATGAACTATAATTTGTTCTTTAAATGATTGCCCA